CGGGGAGGGCCCCGGGGCAGCGCGGGCCGGTCCCCCCGGTTCCCCCCGCACCGGGACCCCCGGGGCTGCGCTGGCCCAGACCCCGCGCTGTCCGGCAGGGTAAGCGTGTCACGGCACCGAACTGCTGCTCGGGCTGCTCTGCTAACGGCGGAAAACCCAGTGTTTTGCGATGTCGGGGTTTTGCTGCTGCCAGCAGCCAGTGTTTACAAAGGATGTGCCTTGAGGAACTAAAAAACCAGCACTTTGGCTCGCGAGGGTGATGTGGAACACACCAGCAGCCAGGCCCTCAGTGCCTGCAGCGTCAGCCGCCCGGCAAGAGGCTCCTCGCCTACTGGTGGCTATCAAATGTCTCGGTGTATTTGTCTGAAAAGCAAACTCACCGGGGGAAACTCGGTGACAGCTACAGCACCACTGCCTTTAGCATCAGCATTTAAGAAAAAAATGTGAAAGATTTGCTTCGCTTCACAAGCGACCAGCTTGTAATAGTGGCATTCAACTTCGTTATAGATTGTTATGGAGCACTTTGTTTGCCAGACCCTGCAGGTACCTCCTCTGTGCCCAAGGAGGCTGGAAAACGCCCCACGGCGTTCCCGTGGCAGCAGGGATGTGGGTGCTGGGAATGCCACTCCCCGGCAGCTCCGCAGGCAACCGGAGCAACGACCTGGCTCCCTAACTCCTTCAACTGATGTTGAAAACAATTTCCACTCCTTATTAGCAACGACTGGTGCCTCCGAATAAACTGCTCCGCTCGCCTCGCAGATTTCCCTCCTGCTGCCTCCTGGGAACGCCAAATTTAACTTCTGACAGAAGGTTGATAAAAGATGTTTTGAAACACATGCGGCCTGGCAGGGCAGGGCGCGCAGGGCACTGGAATGTGATGTTTACACTCCTCCTGGTGCCTCACACCTCCACACGGAGGGCCGAGGGCAGGGAAGCGGGCCGGGCCCGCTCAGACCGCCCCTCGCCCCCCGGCGGGGACGGGCCGCTCGCGGCGGGGACGCGGAGGGGGCCGGC